CGAGAATGTCAGAAAGCTCTGCAAACCAAAGTCTGAGGTCAGCTCTCTGTGTTACAAGTGGAGACCGGCAGCTAGCACTTTTACCGAAACGTGCCATAACCTTAAACAGGATCGGTTGAACAAAATGACAGAGATAAACTTGGCATGTAGATGCAGGCTACTCGCCTACACCGCGAAGACGCTATTTTCACCAAACCCAACCGAAACGGGTTGTAATCCAGCGAAGCAAACCACAGCATTTTGGTATGAGATAGGACTACAAGCAGATAATATAGTTTTTGAAGACAAAAAGTCGACTCTCGGTCTGCCCGGTTAGACCACCATTTACTCCAGTATCAAAGTGGAGACTATATAACACTGTGCTGTGCTGCTTCAAGCAAAGTACAGCAACGGCTGAAACAGAGTGTGAAGAACATACAAACGTGACCTTCACATGGAATAATTTAAGTTCCGCCGCCATGCAACCAATTACAAGGCTCCTGATACAAACGTGCAGGCAGGACCTGAAGCCAGGTAAATAAATGTAGCTGCTTTCATGCGAAGAACTTTTAGATGTGACTTAGAAATCTGTCTTTTTGGAGATCTGACTGTGAGCACAAGTCACCGTCTAAATTTTTAAGAGTTGGAGAGCAAGGCGAGGAAACAAATCTAACTTAAGGCTCGCACAGTGCCAACGCCTACCTGAGCAGCATTCAAATCACCAGGAGGATCACTGGAAGACGCATCCTTGGAGGCCTGGTTCTCAGGGGGCGAGGGCTTCCTTTCCGAAGTGCTTGCTGTGGCACCATTCAGAGCCACTGCAGGCGCCGTAGATGAAGCAGTTGTTTCCGTCGCATTTTTCTCCATCGGGAGGGAAGAGTTTGAGAGCCGCCTGGTGGCCGTACTAGATGGTGGAGGAGCCTTGCCCACGCTGAAGGAGGGTGTGACTTGGAGGCATTTGCTCCTATCGGAGGTAGATAGGCGGCGTGGAGAAGTGGTCAGGACTTTGCGTACTGACTGAAGTGAAAAGAGGTGCGTCAGTTCGTCATCAGCCGTTGCAGCGGCGGTCGCCAAACTGTTTCTCTGAGAATTGCAAGGACTACCAAACACATTCCAAGGGAAGGAGGGGTTAGCGGAAGAGGAAGAGACGTGAGGGAGAAGGGGATGGCTTCGATGAGAGGACCGAGAACTGGCGGCCGAAGATTGTGTGGCCGACTTGGGTGCAGCGTCCTCTTCAGCAGCTACAGAAAGGTATAAAACAGTCCAGATGGGTTATCCTAAAAGTTTGTTGTGTAACCTAAAAGGATATTTAACAGAACGGGGACAAAAACAATGAGAATTTACGAAGTAATGAACTTTGTGACCTCTTATCAATTACTGGGACTTCATTTCGGCAATGTAAGAGACTGACAGTCGACATTTGCAGTTAGAATTTACATAAAAGCCCGCCATTCCCATTGGATAAGTCGTTCTCACTAAGGCCTTAAAGCCCAATCATCTAAGCAGTCAGTTTGTCATAGGTGTTAGATACATGTGCAAACGTACGCGATGTGAAGTGACTGGTTAGGAATAAGGCGAAAAACTTTGTGTGCAGATTTAGACTTGGATTTTTAGGAGACAGTCTAGTCACAAGGCGCAGCGGAAAAAGGATAGGTAAAAATGCTCGAAACAGCGTCGGATGTCTCTTAGACGGGTTGTACCTGAAACCTGGCGTTATAGTATATAGCAAAAAATATTTTCATAGGAGGGTTTAGAGGCTGGCCCGCACTGCAGTGCAGAATTTAGCCTGATAAAAAATGCGCTGAAGCAAAAAGTTTCAATTAAATGAATTCTCGGCTTTCGTGGGGAGTCCAGCTATCAGAAGAAACAGGGCAATAAAAAGCTTTTGATATATAATCAATGTACTTGCGCAAGCAGTATCCTATACCGCGTGGTTTAGGACATGTTCTTTGTGTTGTTACTTACATTGGAAGTTCTTCTGTGTCATAACTTGCCAAAGCAGCAGAAATGATAAGAAAAAGAAGGCGTAAAAGGCACATGGGATAACCCAACGAAGATGAATCGCATGAAACGGGCCGCCTTCCAGCAATATCCCAAACAAAACTTTTAAGGACAAAGTTAAACACAGAGCGCCTTAAAAGCTTACAGGAAGCGGGCTTTGTGAGTTTCTTTAGACGGTGTTTGGAGGTTAGGTGTTGGGCGAAAGACTGTGTCTGTAGATTGGGACTGCCGTCGGAGGAGCTTGCACATATCGGACAAATAACCTCCGTTTTTGAGGAAGGGTGTCCGGGCGGATGCTCGGTGAACACGTGTGTGGCGAGTTCTGCTTCTCGAAACCCCAGTGCGCCACAAATGGGGCAGGTGTGACTTTGGGCTCTAAAACGTGACTTCTAGAAGTAGAAAAAGGGGAGTGTAAAGCGAAGCCCAAAAAGAATGCGGGACCCAGGGTCCAGAATGCTCAATAAGACATGATAGTTTTGAGCGGTGATCTATGGTTGCAAAGTCAGGAGACAAAAGTCTAGATATCAAACGAACTAGTTGAGATGGGGGTTGGGTTGAGCTAAGTGGCATGAAACGGAGAACAATGACAGATCTCGACACAAACAAAAATAGCGGTCTTGGTGTATGTGATAGTAGAAACGTGGTAAAAAAACAGGGACAAATGTTCACTAGAGACGTTCAGAACGTGTTGCTGGTAAAATATTCATCAAAATAGGGCTTTGTAGTGGCATACTGTGATCATAAATACTGTGACAGCTCTAATGCACGACGAAACTGAATGGGTTGTTTAAATGGATTAGAGACCTTTACTTTGACGCGAACTCAGGATGGGATCGGTGTAATCAAGTGTGTGTCTTAGCCCATAGTTGGATCAGGAATCCCCGCCGGAATCCAAACT